TTAAATTTAAAGGAAAAAAATTATATTGAAATTTTTCTTTTTCTTTCTTCCTCTTTTATTATATTTTTTTCCCTTTTTCTTTCTTTTTTCCTCTCCTTTTTCCTTTTGTCTGGACAATTTAATTTCTAAAAAAACCTTTGATCTGAAGAGATGAAAATTTAAATAAATATAATCATGAAATAAATTATAACCGAAATGGCAATGTAAACGGCAAAAAAACAATAAAAATACATGTACAATCAATATTTAGTAAATGAGCCCTTGCTCTCAATGACAGCTGCACATCTTCGACTACAAGAACGAATCAGTTCTTGACAATCCTCGATACTAATTTTAGACCATTCTTCTTGAAGCTTCACCCACAAATCCTCCGTGTTAGTGGGATTTCTTTCCATAACTTTCACTCCTAAGGTCTTCCAAACATTTTCTATTGGATTTAAGTCAGGACTTTGCGGTGGCCAATCCATAATTTCCAAATCTTGCTCGCTAAGGTAACTCATTACCACCTTTGCCTTGTGACATGGGGCATTATCTTGCATAAAGGTAGCCCTATCGAAACCTGAATTCTGTATGATTGGCACAACATGATCTTGAACAATGTTTTTATAGATCTGCGCGTTTACACAAGTTTGTAACCGGACAAGAAGCGTTGTACCTTGGCGAGAAAACATTCCAAATACCATGACGCTCCCAAACTTGACAGTTTTCTTAGTACACTTTGCACTTAATCTTTCACCAATACGTCTCTTTACATTGTTTTTTCCATCATTTCCAAATAAATTAAACTTGCTTTCATCACTGAAAAATACTTTTGCCCAATTTTCATATGTCCAAATTACATACCTGTTTGCAAACTCTAATCTCTTCTTCTTATTCTTCGAACTAACAAGTGGTTTCTTCCCTGGGTTTCGATTAAACAGCCCTATTTCTTGCAGTCATCTACAAACAGTCTGTCTTGACACATTAACACATGGGGTACTATTCATAACTCTTTTAATTTCTGTGCAAGACTTAAAACGGTCCTTTAATGACATACGCTGCATTATTCGATCTTCTCTTGCCGAAGTTTTGCGGGGTCTGCCGGTTTTAAAAGCACTATTTTGCCAGTATCATTGTAGGACTTAACAACCCTGCCTACAACACTCTTGGAACGTTTCACTTTCTCTGAAATCTCTCTAATGGGGTGCTTTTCCTTGTGTAGCTTCACAATAGCTTGTCTCACAGAGTAATCAAGTTTTTGGCGTTTCGCCATGGTGCCGGCTGATGCAACGTTTACAAATGACTAAGTAAGACTTATTCTTTAGAGGAAATCAAAAAATTTGAATATAGCATACAGTTTACATTGTTTTTCTCAATTTTGTCCCTTACTTTTGGACGATCCTATTTTGAAAATAAATAAATAATTGTTATAATTCTTTTTCTATCTTTTGCAAATGATTCAAATTTTAGTATGTTATTATGGATGATAACGACTACCAGTTGTCAAAATTTCAGCTTTTCACAGTTGTTATTTCTAACAAATATTAGGTTTTAAAATTTTTTTCCCTTAGTTTTGGACGCTACTGTATATATATATATATATATATATATATATATATATATATATATATATATAAAGCGAGTGAGTGAGAGAGAGAGAGAAAGAGAGAGAGAAAGAAAGGGATAGTAAAACGCAATATAGTTACATAAGTTTGAACGTATATAGATATATGTGTGAGTTAACGTTTTTAAAATACCAAGAATATAAGCATTAAATTTTAAAAAATTGCTTTATTTACGTTTCGGGTAGGAAATCGATCAGATATGGGCTTTCGAATAAATGCATTAATTGCATATATATATATATATATATATATATATATATATATATATATATATATATATATATATATACGTGCTAATGCCCTTGGGAAAGCTGTGAATCCTCTTCTTCTCCCTCCAGCTATGGGTTAAATAGCAGGACAGACTGGGTTCTATAGCCTTGGATGGCAAGAAAAACTCTGAATTCAAAACCTGAGGAGGGTTGTTTGGGGACCTTGTGGCACGCAGTACACCAGGTCTCTGTATTCGGCCCTTCAAAAAGTGTGGATGGTCCTGCACGAAACCTTCACCACTCTAATCGAATCTCATGTGCCGGTGTCAGGCTGTCAGTTTCCTGGAAACTGATCTGCTTGACCTTCATACGTCGACCCCGACGGGAGAATCGATTATTATTATTATATATATATATATATATATATATATATATATATATATATATATATATATATTTAAATATATTTTTTTTTCGTGGTACAGAATTTAATAATTGCTAGGAAAAGATAATAAGAAGGCATTTTTAAAAGCAAAAGCCAAAATAGAAACAACCGGTTTCGTCCCAGGACTTATCAAGTTATTTATTCTGGGAATTTAAAAGGGTGTAAATTAATTTTAATTAACGAATGTAATTAAATGGGGAGAGAGGAAAAAATTATGAATTTCAAGGAGACTAGAGTCCAATAATATTCAGACCCAGCAAGCATTCCCTCTGTTTACAAAGGGAAGGCTCACGACATCTGATATACAAGGACTCCAGAACCTTGAGGTGAAGTGGGACCTCGATAAAATCATAAATCGGTCACCACTAAAATTTTCTACACATTCCCCTCTATTTATCAAATGTTCAGCAATGGCAGAACCAGAACTGTTAGTCAGTTGGCTATTCCTAGAGGACGGATTCAAAATCCTGGAGGGTAAATGCTGTTTAATTCTCGAATCCAAACGCTGGGGCGTCCTACCTATGTAGTCATGTCCACAACTACACTTGTATTGGTAAATCACTGAATTAACATGATGGGGAGGTAGGACATCCTTACGAATGGAAGAGAAAGCAGGACGAGTAACAAATATTAATATATAAACATTTGCCGAAAAATAACAACTATTAATTAAACGTAAAATACGTTTCGATAAACTCTCACCCTCTGTACCAATATAGGGAAGACGCAAATAAACTGGGTATTTATCAGGTAATTGCGGCTTCACCCTATAGAATTTACTGATGACATCTTGAATAACGGATTCTAAAACATCCAACGGATATCCGTTTTTTGATAGTGTCATTCTAACAAAGTCAATTTTCCCCCAGGGAAAGCCCTCAGAACATAACTTAAGTGCCCTGTGAATTAAGGACTTAATTAAATTAATCTTACGTTGTCTGGGACAAAAAGAGTCCCAACGCGTGTAAAGTCCCGAAAAAGTGGCCTTCCTAAATACAGAAGTCTCAAACTTGTCAGCAATCTTATGGACAAAAACATCCAAAAAGGAAAGACAAGAATTAGACTCCTTCTCTACGGTGAACTTAAGAGAAGGATGGACAGAGTTTAATTTGGTGAGAAATTTGTCGGCTTCAGCCTCATTATTAAAGAGTCAAAAGGTATCATCCACTTAACGATGATACATAAGAGGACGACCAATAGGAGTAAATAAAGAAGCCTCATGAAAACCGACAAAAATATTCGCCAACGCTGGACCCAAAGGCGAACCCATAGCTACCCCGTCGATCTGTCGATACATAATGTTATTAAAGCTAAATTCGACAGACGCGGTGGTGAACATCATAAGCTCAACAAATATACCCTCAGGAAAATCCGGAGGAGACAAAGAGGTACAATATGTCGCAACACATCTCAATAGTCTCAGACATGGGAACACATGTAAACAGGGAGCAGATATCAAACGAACACATGAACCCAACATAAGTAGAAGAACTACGTATAATTTCCACAAAGAAGAAGGAATATTTAATACAATATGTACTGAAGTGCGACAAAACTGGTTGTAGCACATTCGAGAGCCAACTATCAACTTTATGCTGGGAAGACCCAATCATAGACAGAATGGGTCGTAAAGGAACACCGTCCTTATGGATTTTAGGTAACCCATACAAACGGGGACGAATGGACCCAGTGGGTCTAATTAACTCTGAAATTTCAGAGGAGAGTAAACCACTCTTGACCCACTTTAATAATTGCCTTTGAAATTTAGTTTCAATAAAATCAGTATGATCATGGGTCTCAACTGGACCTAATTTTATGAACTTTGATGTGTCACTAAGTATAATATCCATCTTAGAAACATACTCAGAATAGTCCAGTAGAACAACACCAACACCCTTATCAGGTTTAGTTATAACCAGGTTATAATTATTTTTAAAATTTTTAATTACCCGACGGTGTTGTTCTCCCCATTTGGACTCTGATGAAGAAACAGAGGAGCCAGCATAGGAATCGGCATAACTATTGAGAAATAGAAAATATATATTTTTATAATACTTATATTTATAATATATAAATTATTACATATATATAATACTTATATTTATATCTAAAATAACGTTTGATGTGATATATATATATATATATATATATATATATATATATATATATATATTCTGTAAAAAAATTATATAACTCTTTTGATAATGTAGTAGAAATAGAATTTTCATTTATTTTAAACTTGGTGAATAAAACGTTATATATTTATTTGCGTCTTGATAAATGGATAGTAATTTCGGAATTGCATTGTACTTATGAAATATGAGAAACTTAAAATATATTCATTATTTTTTGAACTGAACGGGTAAGCTAGTCCAAGAAGGAAAAACCAATGTCCTTACTTCATAAAGCTACGTCATCAGACGTCGTGTGTAATTATTCTGTCGTCTTATGTAATTACTATAGTTTCATAAAAACTGTAAGAGACTGAAATAAAAAGAAAAAATTCATCTTTCTTTTTCACTGTAAATTAGGGCATAAATTCAAAAAGTAGGAAACAATATAAAATTGTCCTGCACACGCAGACGAATTGTCGTGTTAAAGACAAGTTTTTTTTTGGGAATGAAGAGACAAAAGAGTAAGAAAAATAGAAATTTGGGGAGGTAGGGTAGTCTGTGGGGTTGCAGTTTAGAACTTGTTTTCCTCTTTTCATAAAAACAGATATCTTCGTTCGTCATTCATCAGTCAAATTTCTTTGTGCCTTGTTTTGCCATGTTTTGTTCCAGATAAAAATATTAAAGTATCGTCTGTCAGGAAACAAAGACAATAACCAATATGAGTAAGATTATGGTTGGAATAATAGAAGACAAATAAGTAACTGGTATAAAAAGAAAGAAAGAAAGAAAGAAAGAAAGAAAGAAAGAAAGAAGGAAAAGAAAAGAAAGAAAGAAAGAAAGAAGGAAAAGAAAAGAAAGAAGAAAGAAAGAAAGAAAAGAAAAAGAAAGAAAGAAAGAAAGAAAAGAAAAGAAAGAAAGAAAGAAAGAAAGAAAGGAAGAAAGAAAAGAAAGAAAGAAGGAAGGAAAAGAAAAGCAAGAAAGGAAAGAAAGAAAGAAAGAAAGAAAGAAAGAAAGAAAAGAAGAAAGAAAAGAAAAGAAAGAAAGAAAGAAAGAAAGAAAAGAAAGAAAGAAAGAAAAGAAGAAAGAAAAGAAAAGAAAGAAAGAAAGAAAAGAAAAAAGGAAGAAAGAAAGAAAGAAAGAAAGAAAAGAAAAGAAAGAAAGAAAAGAAAAGAAAGAAAGAAAGAAAAGAAAAGAAAGAAAGAAAAGAAAAGAGAGAAAGAAAGAAGGAAGGAAAAGAAAAGCAAGAAAGGAAAGAAAGAAAGAAAAGAAGAAATAAATAAATAAATAAAGAAAGAAAGAAAGAAAGAAAGAAAAGAAGAAAAAAACGCGAGGTAGAAAGGAGAAAGAGGAGAGGGAATATAAGATCAAAAAAGAAAGGAAAGTAGAAGAGAAACAAAGAATATATGGAAATATAAAAAAGAGAAAGAGGGAGAAAGCTGAAAAAAAATGTATGAAGATGAATTAGAAACTTAAAAAAATGGAAAAAAGCAGGAAGCAAATAAAGAAAGAAAAACTGGAGAATTTGATGAAGAGAAATAATATAAGACAAACTGGAATAAAAAGGACGAAGGGTAAGAAAGAAAAGACGCGAGGCAGAAAAGGAAAGGTAAAAAAAAAGAATGAAAACGCAAAAGGAAGAACAAACGTTGAAGAGAAAGAAAGGGAGAGTAGGATAAAAAAGAGAGAGGAAGAAAGAGCGGGAAAATAAGACACAAAAGAAAAAGAAAGAAAAAGAAAAGAAACGAAAGTATAAAAGAAGAGAAAGAAAGAATATATTGAAAGATAGAAAAAGAGAGAAAGAGGAAGAAAGCAGAAAAATCTGGCAAATGAAAGAATTAAAAAATTAAAAAAAACAGAGAGCAAATAAAGAAAGAAAAGTTAGGGAATTTGATAAACAGAAAACAAATGATGGAAGAGAAAAAGAAGAGAAAGAATGAAAAAGTTAATGAGAAAGAAATTCAAAAAGGGAATCCTTACGAACGAATTATATTGAAGTCAGCATATACAAGTGATGGCATAATAGTAAATTCGAATTAGTAAGATGTAGAATTCAAGGAAAAGGAGAGAAATGACACAATGTGGAAAAGCATTTTTAATGAAAACACGTTTCTCTTCCGTCTGCTAGCTTGGAATCTTAAGGTCAGAACGAAAGACAAAACTGTGTTTTTGCATTAAAGCCGTTAATATCTGTTTGCTTGGCTGGCGTCTTCTGGTCGGAATGAAAGAACAAAACTTTTTTTTTTTATATTAAAGCCGTCATCAATGTCTGTTGGATTTGAAACTAGTCCACCCCGAGTAGATCTTTTTAATTTTCTCTACTAGCACGTATACCGCATTGTGCTGCTATTGCTTTTACGATGATCGGTGATATTATGTATGAGTCTGGTCTTAGGTTTATCGTCGAGAATTGTGAGATCAGTGCACTCTCAATACATTTTCTTCTTAGTGAATCCTTTTTCTCTACTGATTAGACTGACATTTATTAAGTCGAAATTGTGACAAGATGTTTTACGGTGAATAATAGTAAATGTGCACTTTGAAGAAAGAGAAACGAGATCAGGAAAGGTAGAAATGTAGACATGATTGGGTAGGAAACTGAAAACTGTGCAAATAACTTGTCTAATCAAATAAATATTATATACACATACTAGAATCTATCTTTGAAAATATTTAAAAAAAATTATTCTGTGGGATTTCAAAATTCACCCATCAAGGTTAGAATTCCACATTACAAAAAAAAAAAAAAGAAAGATCAGTGTATAGTGTAACGGTTATCGACACAGAAAGTGAAATCGGTGGGCTGAGTTAAAATTCTGGTTTAGTCTGTTGCGTTCACTTTCGCACGAATGTGATTGAGAAAAGTATGAATCCCGTTCATCTCTATCCATACAGGTAAGGGGGAAATAGTAGAGTAGATCTGGCTCTCTAGACGGTAGGAACTTATCTAAGAGAATTAAAACAAATGAATTCAAAACCCTGGAAAAGGCAACAGATAACCACTCATTTCCTATGAGAACAATTATGGCAATGCACCGTTTAGAGATATTAAACAACTGTAGAGAATCATTGCACCCTATACTCGGAAGGGAGATGACATTAAAAAAAAAAGAGCCATACGTGTGAGAGAATCCACTGATTTGTTTTCTCTCCATAATTTTTCATTCTTACGCTTCTCATACCGCCCTTTCATCTTCGGTAGCTTAGTCTTTTTAGACTTGGTTGTCGACCAGTCTAAGAGAAGAAAAACTCTGAATTCAAAACCGTGTAGAAAGCAATGACAAATCGCTTCACTATATATTCCCAAGAATGCATGGCAATTCACAGATAAATAAAAAAAAAGTAATCCGTGGAGAGTGAAGATCGCTAACGTCCTGAAAGGCCACGGCAATAAAAAAAAGAAGTTTACCAAATGTTGCATGCTAACCGAAAACTATTGAAAATCTCTGGGATAGTTTGGATGAGATTCGGAGAAAAACTGAAAAAAATAGAAATTTGCGAAAGATTAAAAAAACAAAACATCTGGATAACAAAACCAGCTAAAATACGGAAAAGAGTTCTGAAATATTCAGAAGACTTGTTGCCACCTGGTCTCCAATTAAAGTCACCTGGTACAACAGATATCAAAACAGAATGAGCACAAATAATAATTAAGAATGTTAAGCAGGTCTTGAATGAAAGCCACCAATTACTTCTGGTATAAAAACACAATGGATCCAAATAATGATAATGAATATTGAAGAAAGTGCTGGAGTATTGAGGAGACTTGATGTCACTTGATCTCGAATGAAAGCCACCAGTTACTTCTACTATGAAAAAACAATGAGTAGAAATTGATATTAATTGTAAAACGTTCAAGGAGAGCCCTGGGCTTGAAGTTACAAATGGCTCGTATCAGTGCTGACCAAAAGATTAGAATTAACTTCATCTATAGTTAGAAACGCCTGACTAATTGTAGATATTGACACTTTTTACATGCGGACTACTGTCCTCATTTTTGTTGTTGTGCAACGACCAGGACAGTTGTCTGCATGTAAATAGTGTAAATAATGATAGCTCCTCATCTCAGAATTTCAGATAGAAATTAAGGCCTCTATCGGTAGGCCCATGAATTTTCGTATCTGTAGGCCACAGGAATGACTTTATCTGTAGGCTACAGAAATTACCCTGTCTGTAGGGTAGAGGAATAACCCTACTGTATGCTACTGAATTACTCTATGTATAGGCTATAAAAATGGCCCTATATGTAGGCTACCGAACAATTTTGAATGTTCTGAAAATGATGGAAGAGCAGGAATTATTTTACAACAGTTGTTCGGATTATTGTTTTTTTGTCATTTTGTTTTACCGTTTTTTTTTGTTTTTTTTTTTTATAATTACCATTAAATTTCTTTACCTTGTTTAACTAAAAAAATAGTAGGGGTTATGCCCCTAATGATTGCTGTAGTATGCAATGTTATAAATAGTGACGTTCCATCATCCCCGATTGGACCCAGAAATTTCATCGATCGCGATGAACAGATATTCCCTCAGGGAGGCCCCATGCTTTGACCTCAAATGGGACATGTATACAATCCATCTCTAAATATAGTAGAAAAATGGTCTGTTCCTTTTAACCCTCAAGTAAGTACCTGAATCCTCCTGCTATGCTCTACTTTTCTTTCTTCAGGACGTAGACCATCATGGCTTTCTATATCCTTCTATCCTTTGCGGCTCTCAAAAGGTTCCTTTTCTCTGCTACCTCCCTTAGACCACGTTCTTTCATGCACTTGTTTAAACCATCTAAGTATGTCATGCGTTGTTTTCCCTTGTCTCTCTTTCCTTCTATTCAGTCAGTGAGTATCTGATTCTCCACACCCTCCTTCCTCATTATGTGTCCCAGAAACTTCAGCTGCCTCTTCCTGATGTTAAGTATAAGACTTCCTCTTGTTTGTATCTTCTCCATAACCTCATCGTTACCCGGTCCATGATATCCTTAGCATCCTTCTGTAGAACCACGTCTCTGTCGCCTCGAGTCTCTTCTTCATCTTTGAGGAAATCGTCCAGCATTCGCTGCCGTAAAGAAGGACAGATGTCACGCAACAGCTCAGTATTCTTATCTGTGTTACCAAAGAAATTCTCCTGTCTAGCAATACTCTGCCCAGCTTTCGGAATGTGTCCTTGGTCATGCCAATACGTCTATAGATTTCAGTATCGCATTTACCGTCCTCTGTCAGAACGGTTCCCAGATATTTAAACTTCTGCGACTGCTTGATTCTAGTGTTTGCGACCTGCAAATCGCATTTCAGGCTCTTCCTCTTACTGATGGTCATGCATTCTGTCTTCTTGTAGAACTTTCTTCTCATTCTCCGTCGCTACCTTCTGTAGGAGATTTTACCTTTACAAGAGCCAAAATCAGGCCGAAAATGAAATACTGTTGGCATATATAGGCAGGGGCTGTCCAATATTCACTTTCCAGTCTCGATAGAGTAAAAAATCGTCTCCTCGTCCTTGTGGATGATGAATTATTTTCCACCCTCCAATCCCTTTCCCACAGACGAAACATCAAAAGCCTCTCGCTGCTCAATAAAGTATTTCTATGGAAAGTGTTCGGACAGATTACATTCCTTAGCTCCATCAGTTCTAACGTTAACGGCAAGGACCCACCATGCTAGGCACATTTTAGCGATTCAGTCTCATTCTCTCTGTATTCCATTGGTGAACCGTAAGTTCCGTCTTAAGAACCGCTACTTTGTGGAACCGACTCCCAAGAGGATGCTTCCCCGATCACTACAATCTTAACTAGTTCAACACTAAGGTTGCCCGCTATCTTCCTCACATATCCGCATAAACTGTGTCTCTTACTTTGTAATTCTCTATCTCGAGTGACTCTTGGGCCTTGTACTGTGTTAACATTGTTGCAATAAAAAAATAGAAAATGACCATAAAACAGCACAATGGGATCAATAGTCGGAACAGCTCCGTCTGAAAATTAAAAAAGTACCAGATTTTGATCATGAACTTCAAAAATCTCAGAGTAATTGTTGTAGCATACCTACGGACGACAATGGGTATGTCCCCATTCACATAAATACAGTAGTAAATACTGTATGTTGGTCTGCAGTTGGAGATTCGTCTACAGCTGTGCTGGTCAAAGTCTCTGCCCCCGGGCACAGAGGATCTGTAGATGAGGCTATGTGGAAGGACAGAGTCCCGTCTCGGGAAACAGCTAACCTACTCCGTTTTATGCTCGGATACCCTACATTAAATTCGGCATTGTGCCATATCAGACCGCGTGGGACGGTTGGTAGATATCCTCCAGTTAGAGATTCATTGTGGAATTCACTTGACTCACTTCTAGCAGTTGACTACTACTTCTATGCGCCGCCGAATCTTATATGTGTTGTTCTTCTCCTAAGTATTACCGTTCATTACCAACCTTCGTTTGATTATTCTATTCAGTAACCTTCCCTAGGTTACAGCAGTTCCTAAGAATTTTATAACATCAAAAATCGATTAGGTGTTCAACAGGAACGATGAAAAACACATCTTCCGGAAAATGACAAGAATCCAAAGGAAAGTTTATGTTTGTAGGGAACTTTGTTTCGCTGGACTTCTTACAGCATCGACACAATTTTGGTTCAAGGAAAGATGAGGAACAAAGAAGATAAGGAATTGAAGAAAGAGAAGAATATTTAAAGTAGGATTCAAAGAAGAATGGAAAAGATGAGCTGATGATGATGATGATGATGATGATGACAATAAAGTCTTGGAAAAGTCCTGATGGTTAGTATGTAAAAACATAGAGGGGAGAAGATGGTGTCGAAGAAAAGGACAAAAAAGAAATTGGCGTAGAGAGAAACTCAGTTGGCGCCATAGAAATCTAATCGATTCATTCTCATTGCAATTTTTTATTTTGTACATTTATCTTTTAAACAGCTGTCGCGTGATTGACGTCACGTGGTCGCAGGCCGCCTGAAGTTTGTCCGAAAAACA